ATGCCCGTCATCGTCGCGCTGTCGCGGTGCGCAGTGCCGAACGCATCGCTGATGTACACGTCGCCGTACGACGCCAGCACGCGCGCCATTGCCTCACGCTCCTCCATATTATTGCTGCCCTCCTCCGCGTAGAAGCGCACGTTCTCCAGCAGCATGACCTCACCCTTCTTGAGGCGGCCAATTTCAGCCTTTGCATCCATGCAGTCGTGTGCAAAGTAGACGTGCTGACCGAGGAGTTCCGCAAGGCGGACGGCGACGGGGCGCAGGCTGAGTTCCTCCTCGTAGCCAGCACTAACGCTTAACTGCGGGAAGATATGCTCCTTATTCTCATTGAGATAGCGCATAAGTAGTGTCTTCTTTTCGTCGTCTGGTAAACGGGAGAAGACTGCTGTTTTACCGGATCCCTCGCTCAGTGAAAGCACAGCGGCCTCTTCCTTTGCGCTCGACTGTGCCAAAATTTTTGCCTTTTCTTCACCAGGGAGGACACCAAAGAAGGCTGTCTTGCCCTTGCTGTCGTGGAACTGCACACCGTGGTAACGCTTCTTAATGTCTTTCTCGGCGGAAGTGTACGTCACGCCTTTGGGGCGGCCAAGGTGGCTCATTAGGATACAGATACCGCCCTGGTCGATGACGCGGCGGATTGTTGGAATAGCCGCACGGATGCGGTAGTCATTAGAAATACAGCCGTTTTTCATGGGAGCATTAAAATCGACGCGAATGAGTACGCGTTTTCCAGTCAACGGCCAGACGTCGTCGACAGTCTTTTTGAGGGTCAGATTCTTCTGCATTGCGATGACTTCCCCTAAAATGTATGACACTCACTCTGGGACATACCGGTGAGAGGCGATGAAGAAGTGTGAAGTACGAGTGTGCAGAGCAAAGGAAGGGTCAGAGGTGGAAAAAAAAAAAAAAACGTATAGCAACACCCACTGAATGCAGGTGTGTGTGTTTTGTTTGATCTTGCTTCTGTATTCTTTTTGCCACCCCTCTTTTCAGCGCAGAAAAGGGAGAGGAAGGAGTGGGTGTATATGCTCACGCCGGCCTTGGTCGCCTACCACTCTTGATGCGCTCCTCAACCCGCTGCAGCCCATCCCAGAGCGGTGGGGGCACCGTCTCACCCAGCTCCTGCAGCATCTGCCCCTGGCGCAGGAGCAAGACGAAGATCGTCTCGTGCAGCATACGCTCCTCCTCCTTCCCCAACACCGCGTCGACAGACGCCACACGCTTCTCTAGGGACTCCGTGCCCTCCTGCAGCGTGCGTATCGCATCGCGTGAGGTGGAAAGGTACGGCGCGTAGCAACCCAAAATGAGTGCGGCCTCCGCTGATTGTTTGCCATGAACCTCCCTCGCCAACCCAAACGCATACCGCAGCACTGCACCGGCACGATCGTCGCGGAGGAAGTGCAGCAGGCGGCCACACTCCCTCCCCACCCGCACAGCTTCAGTATCTCTTCGCTCTATCTTCTGGTTGGCCTCCACCACCCGCAGCCATAACTCTGCAGCAGTCGGCAGATCCTTCCCCTCAATGAGGGCAAGAAAGGTGGCGCTGCGGTCAAGGCACAGCAGCAGATCATCAGTAAACGGCAATTGGCGCACGTCACTTCCTTCACATATGGCGCGTGTGTGACGCACCAACTCTTGCGCAACGCTGCTGCCTGCACCGCGCCAACGACGAGGCCACAACGACTGCAGCACCTTCGCGCTCTCCGCCACGCAGGTGTCGTCGGCTCTGCTGCGTAGCGCCTGCGCAACGCACGGGTGAATCGTTAGCGACGTGTCGTCCCAACGCTGTTCGCATATGCCGAGCCCGGCAGCCAGCATTGCGAACGCCTCCGCCTCGCCATCACCAAAGACTGCATCCACTATAGCGTGCGATATGCTGCTAAAGTCAAAGAACGAGAGTACCAATAAGTGGCGCGTGCTTCCCGGGTTCTGGGTCTCGAGCGCGTCGAGTACGATATCCAGCAGCACGTTGAGAGCGTGCGAAATACTCAGAACACCGTCGCCAAGAACGCCCTTGGCGTTCAGCTGGTGCTTCAGTTCCTCCTGACCAATGGCCTCACTCTCCATGAGGCAGCACGCCATGTGCATGAGGAGCGGCACATATCCTACGGCGTGCAGTACTTCGCCCGCGGCGCTCGCCAAGTCTCCAGCCTCCAGAATGTTTGGGAACTGCGACGCGGCGCTGGGCGGCAACGGCAACGCCTTCAGCACACCCAACTTCGCTGAGTTGTCGACGTCGGCCGTGGTGGTCAGGAGTGCGTACACATTTGCGTGCTCAGGGATGAGGCGGAGAGCCGCTTGCGGGTCCTGCACGCCATCAATGACTAATAGCACGTCCTTCTCCTTGCGGCCCTTCATCGATTGGAAGAAGTGCATCAGAGTCGACGGCAGCGCGTCCTTCGCATCGAGCCAATGAATGCAGGTGAAGCGCTCGCTACGTCGCACCCGATCGCAGAACTCCGCCGCTAACGTAGACTTGCCGATGCCGTCCGGTCCTGTGATGGCCTGGAAGCGGCGACCCGACAGCAAGTTTTGCCATAGCGTCAGGAGCTCCGCGTCACGCCCCACTGTGCGGCACATCACAGGCACGTTGAAGAGAATCGGATGCGGCGCATTCTCCGCCTCCTGCTGCTGCTGCTGCTGCTGGGGTGGTGGTGTCGTTGGGGCGGCGCCCGACGTGATGAGAGCGCGTTGGGGAAAAAACCTCACACACCAGCGTCGAGGGAAGCGCCACATGACTTCTTTCCTGTCATCAGCAGTGGCCATGATTATGATTATTTTGTTGTGTGTGGGGGAACGGAAAGGAAAGGGAAGGGAAGAGCGGGGGGAACAAAAAAAAAAAAAAAAANCCCATGCATGTTCGCAACAAAACCAGTCGGCGAAACAAGAAATGCTGTGGGCACTGATAAAGCCCGAAAGCGAAGAAATGCACCGTATCATCTACGGGGTGCGGGCGACACGGGATATCGATAAGAAGAAAGAGAACGACAGCAACATCAACAGCATCTAGCACCACCCCGTTTCCATTTGAGACTGGCACCTTGGTTGTGGTTGTTGATGTTGTTCTACTCATCCTGGCTTGCACCGAAGAGAAGCACGTCTTCGCTCCGGGTGACATTAGCGGCATCAATGAAACTCTTTGCATCATTGGCATCCAAGTTGGTGACTGTTTTGCTCCACTCCGCCGTCAGCGCATTGAGCTTCAGTAACTCTCTCTCATAAGGTTCCTGCGGAGGTTCCTCGGAGTTTATTTGCTGCCGCTGTTCTTGTCCACGGTGCGTTACGCCCAACCGGCCGGGTTTCGCCCCACACGCCCACCGGTCGTCCCACGGGTCTACTTGCGGTGTAGCCGCACCGCTGCTGGTCTGCACACCTCTGCTGACGCCGCACCGCGGGTTGTGCAGAGCGGCAGTGACAGTTAAAGGGTGCTGCGGGACCGCGTACAGCAGTGGTGCCTTCGGTAGAGAGGTCTCCACCCTCGTCCACATCAGCGTTGGCATGTGGAGGCGAAATACATCCAACGACCGCGTCATATTCGCGCGCAGGCCGCCAACAGCGACGACGTGCTCGCCAAGGACTAGCACTGCGCAGCCGGAGAGCGGCGGTGGCGCGGTGCCACG